GTGTCACTTGTTGCTGAGAAGGCGGTGGGGCTTCTCCAGGCCACACAGCTGGTGCAGAGCCTGGAGAAGTTTCCCCTCCTCCTGCCTCCCCCATCCAGGCCTTCTCTCCCCAGTGCTGCCTCCCCGACTTAGATGGTGTCTCTGACCCCGTGTCCCTCCTGTCCTCAGAGCCCACGGTGGTGTTTGCCGAGGAGCAGCCGGTGCGCAGGGAGGTGCAGGCTGAGGCGGGGGCCAGCGCCACGCTGAACTGCGAGGTGGCCCAGGCCCAGACGGAGGTGACGTGGTTCAAGGACGGGAAGAAGCTGAGTGCGAGCTCGAAAGTGCGTGTGGAGGCCAAGGGCTGCAGCAGGCGGCTGGTGGTGCAGCAGGCGGGGCAGGCGGACGCCGGAGAGTACAGCTGCGAGGCCGGGGGCCAGAAGGTCTCCTTCCGCCTGGATGTCACAGGTCAGTACTCTGGGGGGTGCCACTTGGGGCTGTTGGAGGAGATGATGAGATTGACTAATAGAACCAAGAGACCCTAGCGCTCCACCCCTCAGGTTTCATCTCTTCCTGTCTCCCTTCCTTCCACCTCTAGTCTCATGCCTGTGGCTGAGCCAAGGGAGTTTGGAGTGCCTGTGGAAGGGTTAGGGTCATTCTTGTACACCTTGAGTTGTGTTTCCATGTGGTAATGCTTAAGCACAGGTTTACAGCAGTGGCCCAGAATCTTCCTGCTGGTCCCCGGTACCAGGACTCTAGCTCCACCTGGTGCTCGGGGTCTGAGGCAGACCAGGCGGCTCTGACCTGGGAACCTGTGAACATCCTTCGTTTCTGTTGAATGTTCTGGCCGTTCCCGAATCCCTCACCTTGCACCGTATGGGAGTCCTTGCTAGTGAGTGTGATTTGTAAATTTAGAAATGGAAAGCAGTAAGTAGCTTATACTACGTTGCCACACTTTGTTCAAGATGAGTTCCTGCAGTAGCAGCAGCCATGGTCTCGTGAAACAGTATTTATTTTATAGAGTTTCCCTAGTGCTAACTGTGTCTGTTCCTCTGTGGCTGGTTCATAAGGAAGTCTGAGAACTAAATTTATTTTCCTTCAAGAGAGCGTTAATGCCAAATAATAGTGGCTGCGATCCTACCCTGAGCTCTAGATACCAACACATACCAGTTTGGCGTTACCTCAGTATATAATGGTTTGTGAGTGTGCGCAGATACCTAAAACCTCATTCTGTATCTTTGTCAGATGTAATTTTAAGAGAATATGGCAGATTATTTTCTGGTAATCAATTGGAGAAGTTTTGACCCTTGGGCCAGTTCCTAGAAAATGATATCAAAAGTGACACAAGGAGAATCAGACAACTCCCACAGTCCTGTCACCTTTTAAATAAATGGAACCACAATAAATAGTCTTCTCAGAGAGAAAGACCTAAGCCCAATCCTCACTGGTAACTACATGAAATATTCTAAAAAGAAGTTATTCCATGTTCATGGAGACTCTTCTGGAGAATAGAAGGAGATGCAAATGATTTTCTGTAGATAACATAATATGGATACCAGAATATGACAAGGAACGTAACAAGAATTAAAATTACAGGTTAATCTAGTATAGATATCAAGCCAAATCTTAGACAAAATATTAGCAAACTGAATTCAGCAATATATTGAGAAGATAATACGCTGTGATGAAGGTCGTGGTCCCGGAATGCAAAGCTAGTTTACCTTTGGAAACCTAAACAGATCAATATAAAGCACGACATTAACGGATTGAGTGAAAAACTGATGTGATTATCTCAATAAATACGGAATAAAACTTTGATAAAATGTAGCAATATAAATCCAGAAGTAATGTTTAATAAAATTTAGCATCAATTCATGCCATAAAATTCTTAACAAACTATGAATAAAAGTGTCTTTCTTTAATGGAATAATGGTCTGCAGAAAACACCGGGTAACTGCACACTGAACGCAAACCCTGAGAGCTTTGCCTTTGAGACTAGAATAGCATGAGGAGGCCACTGTCACCACTTCTGTCCACCACTTTGCAGCAGAGTAAGGAGGAAATAGAATAAAAGTTATAAAACTTGGAAGAAACATAAGTGGAATTCACAGATTATATGAATATCAGTTCAGAAAATTTAAATGATTAATTATAGTTAGTACAAGAGTTGACAAAGATGACTGTGTAAAAACATCAATATGCACAAAACACTTCTATTTCCATATAGTAGCAACACAGTTAAAAAGATTTACAACAGCATGAAAAGTATCATGTTTCTAATTCCAAGTCTAATAAAGATGTTTAAGACCTCAGTGGAGGAAAATTGTTCAACATTTTTGAGAGAGAGTAAAAAAAGATCTAAAGAAATGGATGGAAATCTAGGAAGACTCAAATATGTTCACATCCAATCAAAATCCAACAAAAGTTCTTCTTCGGGGGGTTGCAAATTGAGAAGCAGATTCCAAAGGCCAAGTAGAGTGAACACACTCTGAAGAAGTGCCCAGTGTGAACATTTATCTACCAGCTATCAAGAATTATCATAAAGCTGAGGTAATAAAGACAACAGGGTCACAACACAGAGACAGTTATCAGATCAAAGGAGCAGAAGAGTGAGCTTTTGATCAGACGAGTGAATAAGTGGACTCCCCTCGACTTTTGTTTTTTACCATGGAGTCTATGTAGGCAGTGGAGAAAGGATGGTCTTTTCATAAATAGTGCTTCCAAAAGTTAAGCATATAAAGAAATTGCATAGGTACCTCACACCTACTCAGAAATGAACTCCAGGTGGGTTAGAGACCATGGTGTGAAGGTAAAACCATAAACCCCTCAGATGATGACATAGGTGATTTAATGACTTCAGGGTAAGGAAGGATTTCTTAAATAGAACAATGGAACAGTTTCCCATATTTGACGACATTAAAACTAAAACTATGATTCATCCAAAGATACCACTGGAGTGAAAAGGAAGATTGTACAGATGGATAAGATATTTACAAAATACTTAATTGTCCAATCTTTAGCATTTAAACATGTCAAGATCCTGAAAACTGATAAGGAGGAGACGGTGCTATTGAAAGTCGGGCAAAAGACTGAACAGGACACTGCAGAAGAGTAAAGGGTAATGGCCAAAAGATTGGAGAAGTTGCTCCACTGCGTGCGTCATCAGGACCCTGCAGGAGGCAGCCCTGGGAGGTCTGGCCTCACTCCCATCCGGCTGCCAGCAGCTGAGACCCTGAGGGGAGGCGAGAGCCTGGGGCTGCAGGATCTGTCCTGCACTGTGGGTGAGAACGCTCCCTGCGCAGTCGTGTGGAGAAGACTCTGCGTCATCTAGGAGGTTGGGGTGTGCCTGCCTCACGACCCCCAGATCCCACGTGCACAGGAGTCTTTCACAACATCCTGGAACATCCTGGAACAGCCACGTGGAGCCGTGGGGGAATGTTCAGATGAATCGTGTCACTTGTTGCTGAGAAGGCGGTGGGGCTTCTCCAGGCCACACAGCTGGTGCAGAGCCTGGAGAAGTTTCCCCTCCTCCTGCCTCCCCCATC